TAAAAAAATCGTACATTATAACACGATTTAAGTTTTTTTTTAAATGATATAAATTTATATAGAGACAAACTCTAATTTTATATTATAATAATTATTATAATTAATAATAATATATTTTATATTATTGATAATAAATTAAATAATAATAATAATAAAACCAATTTTATTTATATTATTACTAAAATTATTATTTATATTAATATTATATTATTATTATTAATAAAATAAAAAATATTATTAAAAGGAATACAATTACAATAAGTAATATTATTTTAATTTTATTAATAATAATAATACAAATTAATAATTATAATTATATAATGTAATAATTATTAATATAACTATATATATAAATTTAATTATTATTATTATATAATGAATGAGTATTAATAAATTTATATTATTATTAAATAAATAAATATTATTTATAAATAATTATAAATAATTATAAATAAATTTATTATTATTAAATAATAATAACAATAATAATAATAATAATAATAAATATATAAGAATTATAATAAAAATAATATAATTAATGAATGAATGAATATTATTCTTATATTAATATTATTAAAAAATAATATAAAAATGAATGATTATTAATGAAATTAATAATATTATTAATAAATATATTATTATTAATAAAAATAACATCAATAATAAGATGATTATATTAATAAATATATGTTTATTATTATTTTTTAAATAATAATAAAATAATATTAATAATGAATAATTATTAATAAAATTATATTTTTATTAAATAATAATAATAACAACAACAAATATATAAATAAGTATTAGAATTATAATTATTTTATTTTTAATATTATTTTTATTTTATATAATTATAATTATTATTTTATTGTTAATAATACAATTGAAATAATATTAATTATTATAATTATATTACTTTTAATATTTTCATTTTTTATTAATAATATAATATTAATTTAAATAATAAAACAAATAATAATTTAATAATAATATAAATTAAGCTTCATAAACCTACAACAAAATATTTCTTATAATTCAATGAACCTAGATAAGCTTTATAAAATAGACATGAGGGATAAAACTGACACATTTTGGCTACAATGTCATTAACAGTGGATTGCGTTATGGAACGATCGACATAATTGATTAATTCAAGGTCAACGGAAATGTATATTTACACGAAAATCTTATATGCAATGATATTTTCAACTCCATTTTATAGTTATGTATGTAGATCATCTTCAAAATCTAACTGGAGGAAGTAATTTCGGAGGACATGTCCCTTACACATTTAATATGATGCCTTCTGGCTAAAATATTTTTATCACATCCATAACACTGTGTTCAACATATCATCAAGTTAGATATATGGATTTTTATTGGCCAATAATACTTATACCTCATAATCCAACTCATGAAGAAAAACATAATAATAGTGATACAGAATCACAATAAACCTATGTCCCTCAACAAAACGAAAGATTTAGACGAAATAGTAGAAGACCACCTTGTACAATAGGCTCCCTACATTAGATTATTTTTTGTATTAATTTTTTGTATCATGTAATTATTTCTATTAATATATGTTATTTTATTGATTACTCTTATATTTTTAATTTTGTGTGCTAAAATAAGATAAATAAAAAAATATTACAAAATAAAAATGTTGTGTTGTGTTTCTCATACATGGTATAATTTTTTAGATATATACATAAATTATTTGAAAGCATACTTTTTTCTCAGTAAAAATGATTTTATGTAGTTTAATTAATTACTAAGTTTATTGATGATGCATTGTGCTATATTCAAACTAAATTAAATAACATAACTTGCATTGCATATTTTTAAAATATTGAGTTGGATAGGTACAAAGTAAATATTTTTATGAAAGTGACAATAAAATTAACAGATTGGAAGAGGAGCTCCATTCCACTCTCCAAGACATTCTAGAAGAGGATCAATAATTTTACCCTGACACATTGCTGTGAACAATTTGTCAAATTCTTCACCTGGTGACCTGACCTTTTCTCCAGTTAGCAACCCAGTTCCTAACTCCTCTCTCACAAACTTGTACAGAGGGTAAGATCTGCATTCTTGGATCTTGTTTGGAATTGCTGCGTTGCCACTCTCATAAGCAGCCCTTGCACTTTCAACCTCCTTTGGTAAGAGGGTCTTCAACTCCCCCTCAAAAGCTGTAATCTTTTGAAAGATTGATGTGTTAACATCCTTCTCGTTCTCTCCATTTACCAATGCGTGATCTACAAGCACTTGCCTAAGTTTTTGCATCAATGGGTATGTAGCACTGCAAGGGTCGTCAATATAGGAAAATACATGCTCCCTATCAACCACTTTCAGAAGATCCTTCTCACAAAATCTTGAAGGATGGAGTTCTCCATTGACACCTGTGGTAAGAGTCCTCTTGGCAACTTGACTAATGGTGTTCTTGACCGAGCTTTTCAAATTCTCCTCCAAATGCCTTAAGTCAATTGCTTGGCAAAGTGCGACCAAGAATGTGGAAGACATGAGCTTAAGAATCTCAATAGATTCATTTGTCTTCCTAGCTGAAATCAAACCCAAAGAGTTCACATCTTGGTTGTGTTGCTCAGCACTCTGGACATGGCTTGTTACTGGATTTGCAAGATATTGGAGTTCAGAGCAGTAGGAAGCCATGGCAATTTCAGCTCCCTTGAAACCATAATCTAAGCTAGGATTTCTGCTAGCAGTGAGATTTGAAGGCAGACCGTTGTTGTAAAAATCATTCACAAGCTCAGACAATTGAGCAAACATGAGTTTGCCGATAGATGCAAGAGCTAAACGTGTGTTGTCCATGGAGACTCCAATAGGTGTTCCTTGGAAATTACCACCATGCAATGCCATGTTCCTTGAAACATCAATAAGAGGGTTGTCATTCACAGAGTTAATCTCCCTCTCAATTGACTTGGTTGAGAAACGAATCACTTCAATGAGAGGACCAAGCCACTGAGGTGAAGTTCTAAGGGCATATCTATCTTGTTTTGGCTTTTGCAATGGATCTATGTCGTGCAACTTCTTTGCAGCCTTCATGTAGGAACTTCCATCCAAAATGTGCTCCATAATTGCAGCAGCCTCAATTTGACCAGGGTGGTGCTTTAACTTGTGTGTCAAATGGTCAGTAAATTCAGGCTTCCCTTGCATCACTTCGGCAAAAATAGCCGATAGAACTTCAGACAACACAGCTAGTATATTTGCCTCAAAGAGAACCGTAGAAGCTAAGCCAGAGCCGACAGCTGTGCCATTAACAAGGGCAAGACCTTCCTTCGGCTGCAATTCAAAGAACTCAGAATTGATGTTAGCCAATTCAAAAGCTTGCTTAGCATTAACTACTTGTCCAGAAGGTCCCATAGCTTTGGAGTTAGGTCTGCCAGTTAGCAAACCAGCAATATAAGAAAGTGGTACAAGGTCTCCAGATGCTGTGATTGTACCACGAAGTGGCAAACATGGGGTAACATTATTGTTAAGGAGCTTGGTGATGGCCTCTAAGATTTCAAATCTGATGCCGGAATACCCTTGAAGAAGAGTGTTGGTCCTCACTAACATAGCAGCTCTAGTTGCAGTGTGTGGCAGTGTGTGACATGATTCAGTTCCATTTCCAAATATTCCAGCGTTTAAAAATCTGAAAAAGAATAAAAAAGTCATAATTAGAAATTTTTATTAACATTAATAATAAAATAAACCCACCTTGAAGAAAGCATATTGTTTGCAGTATTTATTACAAAATAAAAATTATAACTTAAAAAAGAGAAAGAACCTAAGAAAATAATTATTTTAAATTTTATTTTATGGTATAAAAATATTTAATACTGTTTCTCTACCTTGTATATAGAAGAAAAATACTCTCATCATAGCAAAATATTTTACAGTAAATAATATTGATACAAAATCATATATTTGTAGCTTACCGAAATTTAATATGAATTATGTGCGCCAACACTTTCCTATCTAAATTTAGTTAAGTAAATAAGGAAATTTGTAAAAGGCGACCAGCTCAAACCAAAATATATTTCCATAAGTTACCAGAAAAATATTGTCAGAGATAATATTAAAACTAATAAATTAATAACAAAACATGAATGAGTATACGTAGGTTAAAACATGGTTAGATGGTATCATGGTATATGGTGATGATTTGTGATGGTGTCAAGTTTATGTAACCCAGTAAGCAGCACCGGACAGGAAAGATTGAAAAGAAAGAAAGTAGTACGTCTACGTAGTAGCAAATACATTCAAACTTGGAAGCTTAGTTAATTATAGTTATATACGTAGAGAATACACATAGAGGGTGGAGTAGAGTTAGTTACCTGATGAGTTCCTTCTGCAGAGCGCCACCATGTTTGGTTCGGCGGTGGGAGGTGGCACCGAAGCCGGTGGTGACGCCGTAACTGTCAGTGCCATTGTTCATGCTGTTCATCACCCACTCACTGCTTGCCTTAACGCCTTCCCGAGCGGACTCCGACAGCTCCACCCTCACGCCTTGGTCGTGTCCAGCCACCGCTGCCACCTGAGCGATGGTGAGCGTCTCCCCGCCGAGACGAACCAGCGGTTGCCGGTATTCGGCCACCATGCGCTTCACCTCATCTAGGTGACTCCCCTTCAGTGCCTCCGCCGCAACTCCCCAATTCAGTGGATCACTGCTCTTGGCTGTGGACAAGCAAAACGAACCGTTTTGGTGGCCGTTGGTAAGGGTAGTTGCTTCCATCTTAATAAAATGCAGAGAATAAAAACACAAAAAAGTAGGTAAGTTTTGGTTGCAGAGGAAATGTTTGAAAGCTTATTAGTTTGAGGATTTGCTGAAAGGGAAGGAGTCTGGTTGGAGATTTATATAGAGGTGTGGTTGGTGTGTTACATGCAATGGTGTTTGGCAGGTAGCTGAGGGAAACGAGAAATGGGGTTTGTTGAAAATGAATTAGGAGCGTTGGATTGTAAGTAAGCATGGGATTGTGCCAAGTGGAGAAGTGCATTAGATGGAGGTGCTTCTTGGTAGTAGCTGGGTGCGCCCAACGGATTGGACCAAACAAAAAAGGGGGTTGGTTGGTGAGTAATGCCAGAAATTGCATGTCCATTGCATAACATTTACTACTAATAATACTATATTATTTATTTTTTAAAATTATCTCACTTAGTCATCAATGAATTTTACACATAGTTTGTATTCCCATCACCTTGGACACTTAGGCATATTAACTTCTCAATTTATCCATAACATTTAAAAGTGAATATCAAAATAGTTATTTTGTATAAGAGACATTATTTCTCTTCTCAGTCTTGAAGTGGGTTGAATGATCATAAGAAGGTATTTAGAATTATTTCTCTTAATAATGATATGTGACCAAATGAGAAAATATTTAAGGGGTTGTTTTGTTTGAAAGAAAAGTGTGAACTTAAAGATCTGATGACAAAAGGTGAAGCAGTATGTCCCTTGCATTGTGTGGGCGAGCCTACAACAACTTATAACTGATGACTGGCATGCTAGTTCAAGTCAACCATAGACTGGACTCTCATCATCTGTCTTTTTCAACAACTACAATTAATATATCTCTTGAAAACAAATACTGATCATCTAAAATTAAAAAATAAAAATTACACCTGCCATCACAGCGGTCAATGCCTGAGTGAATCATAACTAGTCTAATATATTCAATGCTCCATTAAAATGTAAATCCATCAAATATAACCAAATATTTATGATTTTCATGTAGTTATTAAGGTGTTATGGTATACAAGATTTAATATATTTTCATTTGATATGCACACTTTTAATCTTATTATTATATCTATTTATTCAAGAGAAATATTGAAGAGTTTTTATATGTGATTAATAAAAAGCGTATTAAAAATTCACATGAATAAGATATATAATAAAATTATCAGGTTAAGTTAGACCTTTTGCTCGTTTTAATATTTTATTTTTATTTTTTATATATTTTTTCACAATTATTGAAATCCTTTGTTTTCCTTTAGCGTCCGCCCCGTTTGAACGCTGACCACTAGTCGAATGAATGGAAGGAAGAAGAAAAAGTCCAATATGAAATTAGGTAAAGAAAAAAACATGTGGACGCTGTTAAGGTTTCATGTTCTGCACTTGCTTTTTCAATCTTTTTCAACTACCAACTTTTCTTTTCTTTTCTTTTTTCCCTAATAAAGGTATTATTATTATTATTTGAGATAAAACCTTTATGAATAAACACTAAATTGTTATTAATATAGTAATTTAGGATAGTGTTGGATTTGTTTCTTTAATGTATGCCCACATTTTAGGAATAACTATAGTTATTTATATTTATGATTTTGATCAATGTTTATCTAAACTTAACTATCATGTGATTTTTTTATTCTTCCTAAAGAAAAAAGAGACTGAATATATAGGAGAAAGTTTAAATCTTGTTATATTTATGTTAAAATGTTCAATTTAACTCGTAAGTAAATGATTTAAGCTTTGGAGTTGATAAAATGTATCTAACTCATATTTTTGGTAGTTTTCTAAAAATATGTTTTTTAAAACAATCTTATTCGAACCTGTCAAACATTAAAGATAGATATTTTTTGAAAGGTAGATTCAAAAAGTCATTCTTTCAAGTCTTTTTCTCCACTTCATTATCCACTCATAATTATTATTGTCCTTCGTAACTTTCTATAAAGCTTTCTAATTTTCCGCAAGGCAAGTTCTTAACTAATTTCCTCCTCAAATTAAATATATATATATATATATATATATATATATATATATATATATATATATATATATATATATATGTGTGTGTGTGTATATGTGTGTTTTTGGAAAAAAATCTGTTAAACTTTGCATGTCTAGTCCAGGTCATTAATTTGTGTATAAAAATGCAAGAAGAAGTTTAAAGTCATATGGTCCCAGATGACAAGTAAATATAGACAATAGAATGGAAAGTGTTTTAAAATTTCCAGTGAAGAAGAAAAAATAATAATAATTAGCAGACCTTATGGTCCCTGAAACAATCAAGTCAAATTCATTTTCCCCATCCACCTTTATATTAAAAATAAAGATGATAAATATTATATTTTTAATATTCTTAGTAATTTGTACAAAAATTAAAAATATATATTTAATATTCTGAAAATGTAAAAAAAAAAGTATTAGTATTTTTTTCATTTAAATATTAAGATGATATTGAAAATAAAAATAGATTTAGTTATTTTAAATTTCTCGTGCTAACTATTACTTTAGAAATAACAATGATTTTTATAAGAACTACAATAGAGATCTATTAATAACATCGAATTTTATATTTTCAATATAAATTTCTTCTTTCCAAAAAAAATTTGTCCTTAATACAGTTGTTATGAAAACACTTTAAAGGAACATGTAACAGATTGATTAGGTAAATGAACCAAAAATAATTAATAAATAAATTGGACAAGTACCCATTTCTTGTCCAATATAATAATGTTTTGTCTTATTGTTAAATACAATTAAGATACGTATCCAAATTAATTTTTTCCCATAAATAAGTTTGATGTTGTTTAGTTATGAAATATGACTATTTATATATATATATATATATATATATATATATATATAGGAATTTCAAATTAAAAAATTGACTTATGAGAATTAATATAAAAAATAATTAAAAATTATAGATTATTATAATATATATATATATATATATATAAATTCAAAAATATTTTTAAATGTTTCATTGTAAAAATCATCAATTATTATATTTAAATTAGATTTTATAACAATTTTTTTTTCAACTGTAATAAGAAAAAAAATTGTCTTTCATAGTATTTTAAAGTTTTCATTTAGTAATTTTTATAAAAAAATAAATATTTTATTATACTGTGATATAAATAATTAAAATAAGATGAATTAATTTATCAACCAAAAAATATAAAAAGATATATATTTAATTTTTTAACTTCTTATTAATTTAGACACAAATCTGTCTATTTATTTTTTTTCTTAAAAAATAAAATTATAATTTTTCTGAAACATTTTTAAAGTTTAATTTGATTTTTTTTTCACATTTTAACATCATAAAATATTAACACAATAATTTATTTATAATAAATGAGAAAATTTATATAATATTTCATATTTTTTATTATATTATATATGTTAATTTGTTATATATAATAATAAATAATAAAATAATTATATAATATTTATTTAGTTCAAGAAAAATATTGTGAGATATTTTATTATTTTGTAATATTTTATCTTTTTTTATTGTGAAAAAAACAAACTAAATAACAAAAATTTATATTTTTTGTATTATAAAAATGAAATCATAAAAGTGATAAATCTGTAAATTAAAGAAAAAAACTTTTAATTTTTATGTTATACTGTGAAATCGAGAAATAGAAAAATATAAAAATAAATAAATAAATATTAACGAAAAGAAGGTAGACATATGAAAATAAAAATTAAAATCCAACCTAAAAAGTTGAAGTAAGTGAAGATCTGGGAGAGAAAAATATAAAAGTTTAAAGACAAGATCAAATAAATAAAAATTCATGTAAAAAAATAAAAATAATATTTATTACAAGTAAAAGAATAAAATAAAAATATTTTTTATTAATATTTAAAAAATATTTATTTAATCACTATATATAAAAAAGTTTGTTCTTTTAGGACATGGTCGTCCCAGATCCCATAGGAATGGCAAAAAAACGATGACCACATATATTTGAGGATAAAATTTGTCGTAGATATTAAAATTGATATTTATAGATAACGAATATTTTAATTATCTACTTGGACACGTATCATTAGTATACTCACTACCCAAAAGAATTTATTTAATATTTTTTTAAAATTTAAATGAAACTATTAATAAAAAAATTAATCACTGAAGAATTATTTAAAATCAAGACTTATAGATTTATATTTTTATTTAAATTTATAAAATTTAATTTATTTAAAAAATATAAATATTTTATATTAACATTTACTAAAATTAATATTTTATAAAGACTAATTTTATTTACATTAATATTTTATAATTTAAATTTATTTAAATTATATTTTTTGATAAAGAATTATAAAATATATTCAATGATATTGACAAATATAAAAGAAAAGCTTGCGGAGGCCTGACCAATATAATAAGTAGGGAGGAGGTATTGTTCCTCTTCCTCCCACCCATTACCGTATTTTTATCTCTCTCTCTCTCTCTCTATATATATATATATATATATAATCAATTACTTATTTTAGGTTTGAATTTGATTAATTAAAAAAATTTAATGATTTAATTTTATTTATATTTTAAAATATGTCTATTATATTATTATTATGTTTGATCAAAATATATTAGTGAATTGATTTTAATTTGATCGAAGTTTTAAAAATTATTAATATATTTATATTAAATTAATTAATTTAAAAAAAATATTTTTTTTTAATTTTACTTTTATTAATAAAATTAATTTTTATTTAATATATAAATTATAAGAGAATATGTTCATTTATTTTTAAAATAAAAAATAAAAAATATTTTTTTATAATTATTTTTTAATAATTTATTAATTTAAAATAATAATTAATTTTAATTATTAAATTTTGAAATAAGTGATTAATAAAAATTTATTATAATATTTATTTTTAAAATAAATGAATTATTATTAAATTAATTTATAATATATACATATATTAATAAAATATATTATTTTTATGTATTAAAATAATAATTATTATTCTATAAAACGTTAGTTTAATTTAAACGGTTTGTCATACATTTTTTAATTAAACCATCAATTTAGAAATTATTCGGATTGGTGAATTATACTAAACCTATTTTAAGATTATATATATATATATATATATATATATATATATATATATATATTATTAAGTCTGTAGAATAATATAATAAAAATTTTCTTTTCATTTAATATATAATAAATAATACATAATATCTCATTAACATGAGTGAAATTAGATATAAACATTAATTAATTATTAACTTTTAACTCTTTATATCTTAAATTACTTTCCTTTTTTTTTTAAATACATAAAACAGAGGAAAGAGAGTCTATGTCCTACACTAAAAAATAACAATCCATAATAGAAACACATATTGTTATAAAACAAATATTATATATATATATATATATATATATATATATATATATTATATATATATAAGAATTACTCTTAATTTTAGAATAAATACTTTTTCAAAAGATATTCAAACTATATTTTAAATAAAAATATAAATATAAAAATGAATCCAATTATTAAATTAAAAAATATATTTACTTAAATAGTCAACAAATATATGATTTTTTATGTATATTTTTCTTGTCTTGAAGGAAAATGACAAAAGTCAATCAATTATCAGAAAAAGACAACTCAGCAATGAAAATAATGATATTTTTTATTCTATTCTAAAAATAGTTATAGTAATAAAGATATTTTTAAAAATAAATAAATTTGGTTCAAAAATTATGCAAAAGACATGACGATAATTAAAAGACCATTTCGATAATTTTGTAACAATGAAAGGAATAATATATTATAACTAGAAATATCATTAATAAAAGATATATTTTATTATTCTTTATTTTTTCAAAAATTGAAAAATAAACACTATTTTTTAAAATTATTTAACAAAATATATATTAAATAAAATTTGTAAATTTAATAAAAAATAAAATATATTTAAAAAGAAAACAATATGTGAATTCTTTATCAACATGTTAAGTTTATCTGTCACATTTTTATGTAAATTAATAATATATATATATATATATATATATATATATATATATATATATATATTATAAATTCAACGTAATAAACAATTATTCATTAAAAAGTAAATAATATTAGGTAGGATTTAAGATTTACAGTTATTAGTATATAAAATTGTATGTATTAATACTATGTAAATTTTAGAAAATGGATCAGACGTTTATAAAAGAATTTTTTATTAATAATTGTTTAAAAATAAAATAAATATTTGATTATAAATTTAATAAATGAGTTACTTTGGTCAAGAAATAACTAACTTTCTTCTATTTTTATTTTTATTTTAAATAATTCAAAAATATAATTTATAATAACATATTGTTTTTTATTTTTACACAACTTTTGGAAGACAGAAATAAAAACTTAGACAATAATTTCATTTTCTGTCAAAGGGTTCTTTTAAGGCACAATTGAAAGAGGAGACACGGCATATTATAATAGTCCAAGTTTTATATATATTTTCAGCTTTAAATCTCATTTTAAAATAAAATACACTTAATAGAAAATTTAATTTGATTTAAAATTAATTGCCTTACTTAATAGTAAAATGCATTGATAAAATACAAAATTTTAGAATATATATATATATATATATATATATATATATATATATATATTAAAGATTGTAATTTTAAGAGTGTATGAAAATATTTTAAAAAAATAATTTTAAGATGATTATATTATAAATAATATTAAAACTTATGTATAATAAAAAGGTAAACTTTTATATTATTTTGTTAATAATATTTTATAATATAAAGTCAACATTTTTTAAACAAAATTCAGTAATTTAATTATATTTTTAGAAACTATAAAGTAAACATATTTTTTAATTAAGAACTAAAAAAATTCAACCATAAATTAAATTTTATAAAATTCACAATTCTAAATTGAATTACAAGGCAAAAACTATAAGTGAAATATCACAATTTTATTTAACTATATTATTTAATCACTTTAGTATAGTTTTTCTATTATAAATTCAAAACTTTTCATTTATTTTATCAATTAAATGGTTATCAAGGTCTTTTTGTTTTTCACGAAATTAGTATAATATTTTTTAAAAATTTATCAAATAAATTATATTTTAAAATATTATTAAACTAAGTAAGTCGTGTAGATATAAAACTTTGTTGTAAATGTTTATTTTTTTATCAACAAATCTGATTGTTATATATTTAATTTATATAAAACTTGTATTATTGTGTATGATTTTTTTAACATTTTAAATAAATTATTATTATTATTATAAACAAATAAGAATATAATAATAATATTTTATATTTTTAATATATTTAATAATAATAATTATTATTATAATAATAAAATAAATAATAATTGTGTTATATTATTTATATAATTAAAAATAATTATTAATCCATTATTTATTATTATTATAATTAAAAGAAAAATAAAAATATTTTTATTAATAAAATAATATTAATTATACAAATAAATTAGTAATATAATAAAAATCATTTTTATTAATTTATTATGAAATTAAATAATAATATTAATAAAATAATAACAACATATTAGTGTTTAATAATATATTATTATTCATAATAAAATTAATAATAATGATTTTTTTATTATATTATTATAATCAATATTATTATTATTAATTTAATTGTATAATTCATATTACTTTGTTAATAATAAAGCATTTTTTAACTTTTATTATTATTATGAACTATAATAATAGATTAATATTTATTCTTAATTATATAAATAATAATAATATTATTATTATTATTTACTTTGGAAAACACTCAATGCTTATAAAGTTATTATTAATTTTAACTTGCAGTTTGCTCTCACTCTAATAAAATCCTGGGGTTATAAGATTGACTTGGTGGCAAGAGAATGGTAGGAGATGAAATAGGTCTTAGTTCAAATCCCCTTAGTATTTTTGAAAAAAAAAACTAATAAAATCCTTATTTATTTTTTCTCCCCGTATAATTGTTTTGTGTGGTATATTCTAAAGTCTGGTAACGTGAAGAAGGGAAATGGTAGACTTCTATTATAATATTATACCGATATAATATTCGTGTATTAGGACTTTGAGAGTTACGTAACAAGAGAAAGTTTATAATTTTTCTAGACAAAAACTGTGATTTGCAATTTTTTGTGAAAAAATGGTACGAAAAAGTTTATAATTTTGTCATTATAAAGATTGAAAGTTGAAAAATATATAAAAATTGTAAATTAAAAAAAATGAAAAGTTATTGATTATATTAATAGAAAAAAAAAACCGGAATCACGTTAATTTATCTTGTTCTTGGCTTATTTGAGAGAATCTTCTCAAGATATTGATTGAGGTTGAAGTCTTTTTTTTGTTTATTATAGTTTCTAAATGAGACTTAACACTTCTGTAGTTAATTCGTATATTTTATAAAAATTACTTTGTATAAGACATGTACACTCTTATTTATACATAAAAAAAAATAATAAACATTGTTTTTTTCTCTCATTATTGGTAACCTACGCATTCCTAACAAATTGGTATATAGAGGAAGAAGATCTTGTAATCAAGATAAAAAAAGATAATTTTGTTTCTCCGCATTCGAGTTTCATCACGGTTATCATGGCGTGTTCAACGAACAGAGTCCTCGAAATTTGCCAGTTCTTCATGAGAAGAATTGAGACAAGTGAAAGTTTTTGATGAATGCACTCATTGGTTTCCAGAATATTTTTGATATTATAAACCACTTCTTGAATTTGCTACTGAAGCATAGAGATAGGCTTTCAAGGAGAATCGGAAGAAAGGTTTTAAGGTTCTCTTATTTTTCCATTAATGAGGGTGGGTGACAGTTTTTTTTTTTTTTTCTTGTTGGTGAAGCTCAAGTCATAAACTTAAATATTTAATCACCTACCATACCCACTAATGGTGAAACAAATTTCAATGCTCTAATATTTTATTTAAGATTAAGTCATGAATTGTAACATTCCATTGTATTAGTTTTCGTCAACTATGTAGATTAAGCATGTTACCCAAGAAACAAAACTATGCGTGTGTATACATGTATTTATAATTTACACAACAGTTTTCAAACCCCAGAGTAGCAACAGTAATGACAAATGGGTAGCATTTCTAGGCCTATGGTTATTTGGGTTGGACCAGTGGTGGAGGAGCGGGAGGCCCATATTGCTGTGGGTTTTGTTGTCTGCCCTTGGCCCGGCCCAACAGGTAACACGCCAAAGCCAATATTAAGATGAACAATATTAAGGGCAATGATATGACCACCACAAATCCCATCCTCAAGTCTCAATTCAATTTTACTTTTTCTTGTCTTTACACCTGAGACATGCCATCTTCATTCCTCAGAACTCAAAATCACAACAACCAAATAAATGCTTACATATTTTGTAGAGCTTTGAATGTTCCGGATTTCTAATTTAATTTTCCAAAGTAGAAAAATAGAAAAACTGTACTGAACTGAAGCATGATTGAGCTATTGAAGTTAAGAATTAACAGATTGAAAAGGTTGATGAATCGGAAGAAAGAAAATGAAGTGAGAAGTTGGTGACTGGTTACGTACCTGTTGGCGATGATGATGAAGTGAAGGAAGCAGTCTCTGCAACACAAAATCTGGAGAAGGAGGAAAGAATATTTAATCTTAGAAGAAATATTGAAGGGAAGAATATATGCGATCTGATTAGGTGAATAATGGAGGAGGTGGGAACAGGCACAATATAGTAGAAGCTAGCGACAGGGTTTGTAGGTGAAACGTATCCCACGCGTCACAACGTATAGATTCAATCTTTCTCACAATTTAATTAATGGTCGTTGAAAGGGTGAGCATGATTTGGCTTGGGAATTTGGACTATGAATTCTCATTGAAAGTAACGGTTGGAGCAATACGATGTATATGTAGAAGAAGATTCAATAATTTCCATGTACAAGTGGCAAAACGTATGTTGACATTTTTAGGAAATCTCCAATAGATTAACTCACATTAATTATATCTTATTTTAAAAAATTTGAAATAATGATTTATAATACTATATTTTATTCTATTATATTTTTTTCAATAAAATTTAAAAAACTTATTATTTTTCCTATTCACTCATCATTTACTTTGATTTACAGATTATTGGTTGCAAGTATTATAATAAATTGAATATCTGTTTTATTATTAGGTTAATGAGAAAATTGATTGAGAAACAAAAAAAACTTCTGGTCTTGTTGCAATTAAAAGAATTTTGAGTTATATTAAAAAGATTGTCGATTTTAATATTTTATTATTAAATGTTACATGTTAGAATGAAGGAGAATGGATAAGATATTTTAATTTTAATTGATAATAAAGTTAGATTCAGAATCACGTCATGTGATGTATTCTTATTGAAAAAGTTATCCATGATCCTCAAATTTTAATCTATTGGGACACTTTCCTCTTATAAAATTGAGTACACAACTTGTTAAACATTGTGAATCGAATTCTTGAAAAATCATAGAAGATTATGATATTGAACAAATAATCAACTATCAATATACCAAAAAATCTAATTCATTACTGAAGAAGCAAACATGCTGAGTTGTGATTTATTTCATTAAAAATTTAGTAAGGAAGAAGAAGGAAAGTGAAATTTGAACACTGTGACATGAAAAAACAACAAATAGACGTTATGACAAAATCTTTTAATAATCAAAAATTTGAAAAATTAAGATCTTAAATATTAAATTGATTATTGAATTAAAGATGGTGTTAGTTAATAATTTAACAATTATGATGAAGATTAAAAAAGAGTTTTGCTCCATATATAAATACTCTAAATAGATCACAAAGAAATCCGTATTTGAATATATATAATAGTTATCTTTAAAAAAAATATTTTTATGAGAGAAAAATAATTAATTTTTTTTTTGAAAATTATGCTAATAAACAAATAAAAGAAATTCTGGAAATAATCATATCGTAACTAAAAATTACTCTCTACTATCTTTTTATAAGAATCGAATTAAAACCTTATATTTATTGCTTTTTATATGAACTAAACGGTTATATCAATATATTAAGCTGTACAACAAATTCTCAGTTCCCAATTGAAATGTCAGCTCTGATTTGACATTTATGAATCCATAAACCTTGTTTGATTCTAGATCAAACAATCCTCTGGTGGGATCAGTCCGAATTCTATTTATATTAATAATCTCTTAGTAAACTATATTGTCAGTATTGTTCTCGTTAAGACTCTCAGCCAGCCTCGTATGCAAAGGTTAGATTTTTAACCAAAAAGGAGCAGAAAAGTATAACCAACTTTCCATCTATCCATTTTTTAAGTTGATTTTCCCGCATTTGCATACAGTACATCCTGCCCTAGGTGTATGTAACATACATTGGATTAAGCTTGGCCTGGCGCATAATCAGCAGGGAAATTGATACATGGGGACAACATTTCTTGATATTATGAGCTGCTTTAGAAAGTAAATTACAGAACAGCTCAAATAACACTGATTTTGTTAACGCAAGTGCTAGCTGGTTGTATGGTGCTAACGTGGGGTCTTGCGTGAACTTGTGCATTCATTAGTGCCCGGTGGCTTGTTAGATAACCTCCGCTTGTACCGTTTGAGAACGGACGCCAAATTTTCCTTCCCCATTGGGAAAGCCACATCACCTGCAGCAGTTCCTGTACGTCCTTTCCTGCTAGAGATCGCAAACTCCACATCCTTGATAAGTTCAAGCAACACTGATGCAGTTGTGCATTTTCCCCGGCTTGGTTTTGCGGTTGGGGGTAGCATCTCATTGGCATGAGGGGGATTTAACTTTTGCTGACGCGTCATTACATCTTGAAGGCAAAAGCATGGGGCCAAGGGCCTACGAGGCTTAAAGAAAGCTGGATCAATTATGCCCTGCTCATAGAGCAAAAAACTAGTAAAATAAAATATAGAACTGCCAGATGTACTGGAGACACTAAACACGTAAGAGAAGAGAACAACTGAAATATAAATATTCTGATTACTTAAGATCGGAAATGACTAATACATAATTTACCTGGAGGCGATTGAGAACATAGGTGTATTTCCCCCAAAGCTCTGGCCGGCTTTCTACAAGTGTAAGGTTAAGAATACTGTGGATACACCAAACCCCAAAGCTTATTATCAAATCTGTTCTCCATATACATCCCTCCCCGCAATTAGGGACTAGAGACGAAGTGCAACCTAATTTCCTATCAGAAAGAAAATAGTGAGCTTCACCCATATGATTGACTTGACTCGTCGTCTCCCTTTCAAAATCACATACAACCTTCTCCCTTGCGGCAATACAATATATCAGATCCTCGTCAGCGCCACCATTCTGTTTAAACAACCCATCAGACCCTTCCAATTTTAAGAGCTTCACAATGCAAAGTCTAACTGACAGAAGAAGTTTCTGCTCAATATCCACAAATGAAGTAGTTTCTTGAACAACGGCATTAGACCTATTTCCGACACCTTCCGTTGCAATATTACGAATTTTCTCAGGCCCAAACTGCTCACTAGGTTGTCTAGAGCGGAGGGATCCAGCATCAAAACCAGAGTTCAACTGTGAAGAGAGTGCCTCGTAGTGAGTTTTTGATGAAGAGAATTCATTGAAGGCCAAATGACCTCCTGTTCTTGATCCAGAATTTGAATATGGTGATCCTTCATAACACGTCCTACTAGCATTTTTATCAGACACGTAACCAGCCCTCTGGGGGATGGAGCATCCTGAAATGTCCGGCAAACTATGGTACTTTTTAGTATTAGCTGAGTTGACTGTATTATCTGCAGAACCAGAAGGGTAAAAGTCATAAAAAGACCTCTCAGATTGTAATTGGCAATCTCTAGAGATAGCTACTTTTGGGAACCCTGGGGGTTGACCTACACTTGGACCACTACACAACCTTTTCCCCAAAGCAAAGGCAAGAGAATCCCTGTACTTTGCATTAACTATGGAAGGGGATTTCAGCGATGACAAGTCCACGGGACCATTTAAGTTTGCAAAATCTCTGTCTTTACCCAGCCGACTAAGATAGGACGCAGTCTGATAACCATGTACGGTAGCTGGTTCATAATCCAAAGCATCTGATGAATGTAGATTGCGCGCACTGGAATAGCGCCTCTCACCAGAATCAAGGAGATTGTGGCTATAGTTCTGCATATATGCATCCAATAACTGAATGGGACTTGCCTGCCTTGAGGAAGTACTCCTTTGGAGGCCATAAGAAAACTCAGAATTGTATTGCATCCTAGGCTGCTCGGAAGAATCATATGGATCAGGCTTCACTAAAGAGTCAGAAGTTCTACCTCCTACTGATCCTAAGTATTCAGAATAGTCCTTTCTACACGCGTCCACTCTTGGAAAAGAACTGGTAGGTCTTAAGTCAACACCTACTCCGAGTAAAAGGTCAACTTTCTTAGCCTTTGCTTCCCGGGTTACATGGCCATGGAAATCATATAGTTGTCCCCAGAATTCATCAAGAACGGCAGCTAGCTGACGCCTTGCTGCACGCCCTAAGCCTCCTATTCTCGAAAGACTTCCAAAGCTATTCCCTCCTTCATCACTTTTGCCATTGAGACCCCTGAATGATGCAGGGCCATCAGATGTTGAAGATGGTACATTTGCTGACACAACTCCGGAAGGTTCTTCAGCTTCCCATGAATCTCCATCATCATCATCATCCCTTTCAGCATTTGAATTTCCTTCAACTTCCTTAGTTTTCTCAATTGGGTTATTTGTTTCCATTGTTACAGTTTTGGTGTCTTCCAGTTGAGAATTGGAAATCTCATTAATTACAGTTGTTACTGACTCTGATGTGGAAGCCGACTCAACAGAATGGTTCTCCCTTGCAACATTTACATGGGGTTCAGGTTCCATCACAGATTCAAGTAGAGCAGGATCAAAACTTGAAAGTGACACATCTGAGTACTCCAAGGTCTTTGCCACAGCTGGTGTGGATTCCCCCACATGCATAGATGCATCTTCCCGATACCTTTTTTCAGTTAAATACGATTCTTCACCGATAACTGGTGGATTTGGCTGAGTCTTTGGCGTATCCCAGTCCCATGTCTGAGAATCTAATCGCACACTAACAGATCTTAAAGGTGTGGCAGCTAACCAAAGCATAAAACATAACGATGTAAAAGCAGCTATTAGAAGGACTAAATATGAGACAGACACACAACTCCCCACATTCCATCTCAAATCACTCGCCCAATCACTATTTCCAAACATCATTTCTACCACAAAGGCAATATTCAAACCAAGCATCCCAATGAATATGATCAATGCCAAAAGTTCCAGAAACTGGGAAATCTTGTGTACACCCATTATTGATCTAGATGTAGCAACTCGAAAAAGGGGGATCACTTGAGATGGAAGTTGTAGAGCTACCAAAACTTGAGTGAATAATAGCAGCTGATACATCCCTTCAGCTCCTGAACTCCAGACAAAATAAAGGGCAGGCAAGACGGTAATCACTCTAATTGTCGCATAATGAAGCCAACCTGGAATATCCAATTTTAAGAAACCTTGCACTACTACTTCTCCACCTAAACTCCAAGTTAATGCTGTGATTTGATTTGCAAGAAACAAAAGGAGTAAAAATCCAAGCAGAGCTATTGGGTAACCTAAAACCTGCATAAGAATCTTAGGATTATTATATATTTATTCATCATCCAGAACACAATCGACAAATAGGATGCTGGAAGTATTCTGATGTAAATCAATTGTAGTCTAAAAGAAGACCTGTTCCATTGGTGACAATGCATCCTGGAATGTTAGCAGAACATGCCCTATACTGAAGAATTCATTTGCCGAGGCGATCATCAGCAAATTATTCACCAAATAAAGACCACTGAAAACACATAATATGGCCAAAAAATGGTTATGACACAAAGCATTCTTAGAAATGCTTGTGGGCCCCTGATGCCACTGAAAAGAAAAGGAAAAGTAAAAGAAAATTCAGATTGACATAGAACATGATGTACAATGTTTTTTTACCAAGGAGCACACAAATGATAAAAGTTGTGTATGGGAAGTGATGGTTGATCAAAGGCAAACCTAAAATCATAAATACATTAAGAAACCTTTATTTTTATCAAGAAGCAACTGTATAACATAAACTTATAAGAAATCTACTCTGGACTAAATATAAATTCTGTAAGCGTAAATAAACATCAGTAAAGGAGTATAACTTTGAGAATATGCAACAACCGTCTTCTTTCTATTTAAAGTATGCCATTAAAATTATTATATTCATTTTATACCTTCCTCATCTAAGGCACTACTGATGAACATCCTTATAGTAAGATAATTGAAAAGCATGATCAAAGTGTTGCATTAAAATACTTCTAGAAAACCCATACAAAATGTACAGTCTCCTATGCAAGCAAAATACAGTGGATGGAGCACTTGCCCAAACCATATTATCAAAGAGTAACTATTAGTTACTGAGCCTTCTGTTAGAATTGGGGTTGGCCCGCCTATCTAGAAATACATAACAAGAACTACTGAAAACCATTACTAGCATACTAGTAAATGATACATTTCTTCCAATAATATCTAGTAATAAAAGATGCTAGTTTTATTTTCTGCATGAATCCCTTTTGAAAACAATGTCTGCTTCATGGAAACAAATACCCCAATGAAATCCCATTGGATCAACTTCAAATCCCGTAATATCATTTTACAATCTAAAGCACTGAAGTAAATGCCCTCATTTCCCTTCACAAGGGCACATGCAAGAATAACATTAAACGGCAGGAACTTAAGAGTATGTAATTAATGGAAACATACATAAGACAGCCAAAAGGACCAATAATTTACTTGTAGAGCTTTTGAGGTAAGAGAACTCTGCACATTTTGGATTCGATCATTCAAATCAGAAAGTGTTCAAACACTGACTATATAATTTTCATGATTTCATTAGATAAAAAATTCTGATGAAACGGTGGAGAGTAATGGTAGAAAACCACTCACAACACAAGGTTTTTGATACAAGTATACACAATCAAGTAAGAATAATGAATTACAATTGTATCATTCTACAATAAGGAGGAAATTAAAGGCCGGCATTACTCAATGTATTTGTCAACTTGAGCACGAGATTTACCAAAGATAGTAAACCTTCAGCAGTCTAGGAGCAAGGTAATGCCCATGCAATCCTATCACCATTTTGCAAGAGGCAAGTTTCTCCTTTATGAACAAGCAAGACACGATGTGCAAAAATATCCACAGGCGCATTATATATATATATTTGCAGCATGCCACAGATGCAGACATTTTTATTGTATATGCATAGACGACATTTAAAAATGAGAGGAAGTAATACCTGTACAATAGAGGAATGAAGGTAAAAGTTGTGAGGTACCAGATTTGCTCCTAGAAGACTCATTAGCGCAAATACACTCTCCCCACTCAACCTTATTAGTATTCCATGCACAGGAAATGGTACTTCTAGTTGATTGATAAGCAGTCCAAGAATTAATGAAAGCAGTACAAGGCCTGCAACAAACTGGCCTAGGATTTTTGCCTTCTCAATGTCCTAGAAAAAAGCAATTTGATAAGTGTAGTGTTGTTCAGCAGAGATTTATGAATAAGCAAATGATGATACTTACAAGTAGGACTGCAAGAAGTATGTGAAAAACAACACCAGTAGCGGCTAAAAAGACACAAGTGAACAAGTCCCACCCAAAAATAAGATTTAATCCTTGTGCCATGCCCAAGATCTTGCAAAACAGGTAAAATCATAGCTTCAAGTCAAAAAGTTTGGTAATGCATGCAACATGTGATCATGTGTAAATGAAGATCATTGTTCAAGAGCCAGACAAATCTTTGAGATTAATCAAGAGTATTACCATGTTAAGGTCTAGCATTATCACTGAAAGTTCTGTTTGAACTCCAAGGAGCATACATGTCCATGTATCATACTCATCACTGCAAATCTTTGGAGAAAGAAATTGATGTTAGTCTATCAGCAAAAGCTCCCAGCTAAGTACATGCATGAAACCAAATACAATCCCAGTAATCAACTAAATAAACATGTTAGAGATTATGTAAATATTGTAATTAGCAATGTCATTATATATTATTAGTTGTATGTATGCATTTATGTAAAATGCCATCACCTTATTTGTGGAGTTAAGTATGATACAAGTTAAATGCATATGATGTTGGCTATTTTCGAGAAGGACAACACCGGAAGATATTCATGAATGGGATCAACATTAGGTTTGTGAGCTTCTCTCCCTTATATATTACTCAATTTTTCCATTTTAATCTACTGTGGGATCTAACTCACTTGTATTTCAATAATTTCCTCTCAAGTATGATTCCCTTCCAATGTTCCTCCTCAAATGTAAACATATCTTAACCTTCATATATTACTCAGCTTTCCCATTTCTAGGATCCAACTCACTTGGATTCTAACATATGAATTTATGTTTTACGACTTGAACAAAGTTAAGAGATTATGTAGTTGTATGTTTATATATATATATATATATATATATATATATATATAGTAGGGAAACCTCTATTCATTGTGTATATGACACAAAGAACTGATCTTATGTCTCTCGAGGTCACAAAATAAAGATAATAATGCATTCAACCTGGCTCACAACAACAATAACTGAATTAATACCAATAGTGTTAGAAACTTAGTTTCATGAAAGTGGTAACAAAATTGAGGAAAAAATAAGAAAAAAATTGGGATAAGAAATAATTATGGGGAGGGAATGGATAATCTCATTCCTTTTACTTGATTATTCTTTTAAGACGGAAGAAACAAATAATATCAATAATTAATGTAATTTCCATACTTCCTAATTCCATAACACCCCTATAAAGGAAGTGTAGAAGATAACATTTACTACCATTGCATTTCTATAAAAGCTTAATCGCATTTGTTTCTCCTTTTAGTTTAGATTGCGTTATTTTAGTTACCCAAGCTTTTCTTTAGCCAATTAAGTCCCTCTATTTTTACAATTAAGCAAAATTGGTCTGCTTGTTAATTTCCTTCTATTTGGAGCATATAACAAATTGGGGACATGAACTACATTTGAAAGTTCAAAAGTTATAAATTTAGAGGAAATTTGATCAAATTTAAAAGATTTATAAATATAAAAACCTGAAATTAGGGTTCAAATAGGGTAACATTCTGATTTTTACTTTATTTTGAATGGAATTTGATTTTTTTGGTGGATGAATTTAAAGCAAATGAAGGTTTATAAACAATTAACTGATTTAATTTGTGAATATGAATTTTAAATGTAAGGATAGCTTGAAAAAACAAGGTGCTGCATGTGATTCAAGCTAAAGAAACCAAAAATTAAAACTTTATAAACTAAAAATAGATTAAGCTAATCCTTTTATAAACTTCCAAGTCTGTCAAAAATTAAATAACTTAAAGGAGATTATATTAACAAGATTCATTGATAGAAGATTGATAGATAGTAAATATGAAGTACCAATGCCGACGCCAAGACACAACTACTGTCCAACATATAGGACATAACGACCCCGCTGATATATAATATATATTTAATATGACAAAAATATCAATCGAGAATCAAGATTTATACAATTTACACTGGGAAGTTATGTTTTACAATTTTTCTATAATAAGAGTCCTCACAATAGAACTCTAAGAAACATATACCTTAATAATTAAAATAACCAGTCAAGCCTTATGAAAAAAAAAAACAAAACTCACAACAAAATATTTTGTGTTATGCATTATTTATAATATAATTTATTTTCTTCTAATTTTTTTAATATTTTTAAATTTATGATAGTAGTGTTTAGGATTTGTTCAGATAATAGGAAGTGTTTGAATAAGAATAGTTGTAAGTTCACTTTCAATACTCATGTTTAAGCCATGTCAAGGTGGTGTTCAAGATGTTTCGAAAATGTGTCTAATATGAAAAAACACATTTTTTTTTATTGTGACACGGTTGATGAGTGTTGTACATGTGTCAAAAAAGTGCTCAACAAGTATCAAGTGTCGAACACATCGCTGTTCTACAAAAGTGTCCATGCTTCCTAGGAAAATACCATTTTAATTAATCTCTGTAAAACTAAAACAAATGAGATTTATTTTGGAAAGACTAGAGGACACAAACAAGTTGTTGAGATCCGTTGTTTATATATCTTTTAGTATTCTTTTCAATATTCCTTAGACTAGGGTTAAGGGTTTGGGTTGAGACCTATATCCTCTCTATTATACCATTTTTCTATAAATACAATATATCAGTACCTTTGATCACAGCATCAAATCCTAAATAAGTTTTCTCAAGATGGTATCAAAGTGGATAAGATCCCACATTGATTTCCGATCGCCTATGTGAGCTCTGGCCGTTTGGACCAACAAAAGAGGGGTTTTGCTCACCTCGAGGAGCGTGACCCACCCTTGCAAGTCGCCCCTCAGTCAGCTGCCCCACGCGCCACCTTTCAGTGGCCGGAATCAAGGCCGACCAACTCCGTTCGACTCTTCAACGTCCTCCAAGTCCAGTGGTATCATTAGTTTTTTTATTTGAGAACTGTGTGTGAAAAGTCCCGTGGGTAACCCTATTTGTTGGCTTTATTCATCTTTTCTGATTCAGATGGCCTCATCCTCTGCCTTCACCTTCTTTGCTACTCCTACCATAACTAGTGTCAGGCTCAACTAGAAAAAATTACTTATCCTGGTCTGCTTCAGTTGAAATATGGTTTCTCGGTCAAGGGCATCACGACCATTTGGAGAAGGATGTAGACTCTATTTCCACTGTAGAAAGGTCTAAGTGGGAGAAAATAGACTTCCAATTTTGTGCAATCTTATGATAGTTTATGAAATCAGATGTTCTTGAGCTTCTTAGGTCATTCAAAACCTGTTCTTCTTTTTGGAAAAAGGCTCAAGATATTTTTGCTAATGATATTCAACGTCTCTTTAATGCAACTCAAAGAGTGATATCACTTAAGCAAACCAATCACGACATGATGACTCACATCGCAAAAGTTAGGACTAATGTGGAAGAATTAAAAAGGTTTCTTGTTACAAATACCTTAGAGAAGTTAAACACCAAACTCGATAAGCTATATATGATTCTAATTTTGTGAAATATGCATTTTGCCTCGATAAGCTATATATGATTCTAATTTTGTGAAATATGCATTTTGCCTTTGATCACATGCGTGATCAAATCCTAGTTGGTGATCATGTTCTATCAATGAATAATCTTGTCACTAGGTTGATTCGGGTTCCTAATCTCATGGTTGATGAGAATCAAGTGGAGATTGTTGCAACTTCTGCTATGGTTGCCCATTGGGGTCAAAGGGGAGGACGCAACAATCGAGGTGGACATGGTAGTTCGAAAGTTTGTCCTCAATGCACCTATTGTAAGAGGATGAGACATACGCAGGAAAATTGTTATTCCTTGCATGGTTTTTTTGATAAGACTGCCCATGCATCTAAATCGAAGAAGTCAGATATGAAGATTTCTGATGAGGAGAGTTAAGAGAGTAAAGAGAGTGAAAAGAAGATTTCTAATTTAGTGGAATGCATTACTCCACTCTATGATCTCATATATATATAGGATTACAACATTTAAAACAACAACCACCAACTACTAACTACTAGCCACTAGCCACTAACCACTAACTAATAATAATTCTAACACTCCCCCTCAAGTTGGAGCATACAAATTGTATGTGTCAAGCTTGGAACAAATAAATTCAATTCGAGGTCCTCTTAAAGACTTTGTCAACACATCTGCAAGTTGATCATTGGACCCGACAAATTCAATGCAAATTTTTTTAGACAACAATTTTTCACGAATAAAATGACAATCAAGTTCTATATGTTTGGTCCTTTCATGGAACACCGGATTACAGGCAATGTGGAGAGCTGTTTGATTGTCACAATACATCTTCATCTGTTGGATCTCACAAAATTTCAGTTCTTGAAGGAATTGTTTCACCCACACTAGTTCACAAGTGAGAGATGTCATTGTTCTATATTCAGCTTCAGCACTAGACCGGGCCACTACATTTTGTTTCTTACTTTTCCAAGAAATAATATTGCCTCCAATGAGAACACAATATCCTGTAGTGGAGCGTCTGTCCATAAGGGATCCAGCCCAATCAGCATCACAATACCCAAATATTTGGGTACCCCCTTTATCTTCATACAACAGACCTTGTCTTGGAGCTTTTTTGAGATATTTTAGGATGTGAACGACAGCATTCCAACAATCAGTACGCGGATTTTGCATAAATTGACTCAACTCCAACGACAAAAGATAGGTCAGGTCTGGTAATTGTGAGATAAATGAGTTTCCCAACAAGTCTTCTATATCTCTCAGGATCAGAGAGCAGTTTACTTGATCCGCCATTAATTTATGATTTGGATCCATAGGGTTGTTTACTAGTCTACAATCAATCATGTCTGTTTCTTTTAGGATATCTAAAACATACTTTCTTTGGGAGACTACGATGCCTTCTTTTGATTGAGCCACTTCAATCCCTAGAAAGTATTTGAGACTGTTAGATATTGTTTCGATATTATTTGATATTGTTAAAATTTTGTTAGATATTGTTAACCACAATATCAAACAATATCTTCTGTTTATTCTGTTACTTTTAGTTACTCTTTTAGTTGTATCTCTCTATTATAAATAGACTACCCTATGTGTGATTTATACACAAGGGAGATTAATCACAAACTCTATTTCTTCTATATTCAACAGAGACAACCAAGATCCTTAATTTGGAAGTGATTGCATAAATGTTTCTTTAGCAAAGAAATTTTATCAACATCATCCCCTGTAATGACTATATCATCTACATATACAATTAAATAAACATATTTTCCTGAAGCAATATAATAAAAAACAGAATGATCTGCTTCACTTCGTTTTAATCCAAAACTTTGAACAATGTGACTAAACTTTCCAAACCAAGCACG